TTAGAGAACAAGGATGCCACCTTTATATATAAATAAAGAGAGAGAGGCAGCAAGGTAAGGCTAAGAAAAACAAACGCACATGATAACAATAAATAAAAAGAGAGAAAATATCTCTCCCTTAAAAAAGCCTCGCATTGCTACAAAAAACCCTAATTGATTTCTTTAAAAAGCAAATTAACTATATAGAAGGATTGGAGATAGCACTTTGTGGTTTTTATAGCTTCATTTGTGAGTGTTTAAGCTGCATAAATAATTAATAAAGGATAGACACTTTGACGGTTCCCTTTCGTTTGATTGTTTTTCACACTATAAGAGGAAATCTTTCAACCATATTTATATTCATGTTAATATATGATTAGTAGATTCAACAATATGATCTTAGAATCCCTAGATGAAAATAAAAATTTTGTTTTATTCTCGCACCTCCATATGATACATGATCTTTCAACCTTATTATTGAGCATGTTGTCATAGAGGGTATGGTTGATGATCCACTAACCAAAGGGCTTATGCTTGTTGATTTTTTTAATCATGTTGAAAGCATGTGTATTGTCATTTCTTTTAATTTAATTGATTAGTGATACTTTATTTTACTTTATATGACTATTAAAATTTAAATTCATATAATAAAATCATATGCCTATTCTTATGCTCATTGATTGGTAAAATTAATTATGTTTGCCCATATCATAAAGATATTTGACATTTTATGTAAACTCATATAGAAATCTTATATATGGATATACATATAAACAATGTCCGATGTTCTACATTAAGACATCAAAGTTTTAGTCTCAAGATGTTAAAATTATGGTGCTTTTAAAAGCATGTTTCGATTAGATTTGATATAAAAGCATGCTTCGTTATAAGTGTTATAGTCTATTAAGACTGGAGGACTCATTTCGAATTAGCATGCTATACTTATTTTGGATCATTGTGCTAACTTTCCACACTACACCTTGTCACACTATGGGTTCATGTCATTAGGTTATTAATATTTATGGTCATATACGAGTCTTCTATTGATAAATAGTGTAAAGACTGTTATGGTCAATATTAATAATACTAATGAACCAAATCTTAAGATGAGATGTTGGTTCTCTAAACTATATATTTATGTGACCATCTAAGTTATCTTACTTTGAAAGTCGTTTTATAAATTGAATATTTTTTTAATGAAATTCCAATAATGTTTTTTAAGTAGGAGAATGTTAGATTTTATACTTAAATATGAGCTAACATTGATTGAAGATTTTATGTTTTATTAAATAAAAAGATTGAATATATGGTTTAGGGATAATAGCCGAGTAAGACTCATGATTGAATTGTGATCTATTAAGTTTATAGGTTATTGTTTGTCTTAATTAATTAAATAGGAGCAATGTATTATTTATTGGTGTAGGACTTCTCAAATTCGGACTCTCAATGAGATTATTTTATTATTAGGGTTCGATCTCTTTTGATATCCTAACCCTAACACTATAAATATATATTTATTGGTGGTAGTTTATCCCATTAGAAACTATGCTTAAGTTTTTGGAGAGTGAGAGAAGGACCTAAATCCTTGAATTAAATTTTGTATTTCTTAAAGATCAACTTTGTTTTTTTGACATCATGACCACGTAATGAATGTAATTTATTATTTACTAACATCTATTAATTGTGTGTTCTACTTTCTAGTATAGAGAAAACTACAAATTTAGTGCCCAACCTTTGATTTTGGTTCTGTTTTGGTGCCTAACCTTTTATTTCTCATGATTGACTATCTAACCTTTGGTTTTTTTTTTCTTTTTTCGATACCTAAAATTGCTTGAGACATAATTTTGATGACGTGTCCAATGAGAGCTATCACGTGGCATTTTTCGGTGTCACATAGCGATAAAAAATGATACGTGACGAGTAAACTTAGACACGTGATCAATTTTTATCTTAGCCGACTGTGAGCACTTAAATAAAAAATAAAAAATAAAAATCAAAGGATAGGCAATGAAACAGAAAAAAAAAATTTTAAGGCATGACTTCGAAACGAGAAAACAAAACAAAAAAAATTTCATTAACTAATTAAAAAAAAGAGAAAATTTTTCAAAAAATAAAAATGTTTATGCACTTATATATGTGTATGAATATTTATTAAAGTATGTGAAATTAATATTTTATATTAGTATGAAAACTGTGCTTATGCATGTATTTATGTTATGTATTATGATTGAATTATTAAGTGCTTAAGTGTGCAAGTTTAAATCATTTAATACAACAAGTGTAAAGATGACATGAGGACTTAATTGAAACAACTATAAGTTTAGGGACCAAAATAAAAAGAATTGATTGAAAAAAATAATAAAGTTAAGTGAATAAATTATAAAGTGAACCTACTTAAGGGACTTAAAGAATTTGACTACGCTAAAATGAATTATGGATGAGTTAAGTATAAATTGGCATTAAAATAAAATTATTGTTTTAGACGAGTAAAGGTCACGAGGCTTCGTCTCGCATTCACCGAACTTTGAATGTGAGGCATTGTTGGTAATATTCTCGACTTACTTTAGATCCTAGGTCAAAAATGTTACAAAGTGGTATTGGAGCCAGAGTTGATTTAGTGGACCTTAGTATTAGTTTTGGACTGAACGATACACGCAAGCTCGGATTCTAGCGGAATCGTTAACAAGTAAGTGCTTATGCTTAATTATTGTTTGTAAGTATGGTTGTTATGATTGCTTATGCCTATGTGATTGAATTATATGAATGAATTGATTGAATGTTATGGATGTTTGAGTGTTGATCGAATAATATTAAACAAAGTAAATATCGAGTACAAAATTTTTATAAAGGGGAGAGGAGGTGATGTAACATTCCCAAACCTTAACCATTTTTATGCACTTATATATGTGTATGAGTATTTATTAAAGTATGTGAAACTAATATTTTATACTAGCAGGGAAATCGTGTTTATACATTTATTAATGTTATGCATTATGATTGAAGTATTAAGTGCTTAAGAGTATGAGATTAAATCATTTAATACAAAAAGTGTAAATATGACATAAGGAATTAATTGAAACAATTACAAGTTTAGGGACCAAAATGTAAGGACTTGATTGAATAAAATAATAAAGTTAAGTGAATAAATTATAAAGTGAACCAACTTAATGAACTTGAAGAATTCGGTTATGATAGAAAGAATTACGAATTAGTTAAGTATAAATTAACATTAAAAATAAAATTAATTATTTTGGATAGTAAAGGTCTCGAGGCTTTGTATCTCATATTCATTGCACTTCGAATGTGAGACTTTATCGATAATATTCTCGATTTACTTTAAGTCCTCGGTCGGAGATGTTACATTACTAGTACCATATGTTTTGATAAAGGGAGTTGGTAGGGGAATTAGTAATGGCCTTACTAACACCACATGTTTTATGGCATAATTTGATAAAAGTATTGTTTTGCCTATATCAAGGGTTGGACTTTACGTCTAATAGAGTACCCATCATCTAGGAAAATGAATTTACATGCATCATGAAAGTTTACAAAATGTCATGCATAATCATGTTTACTAGGTGTTAGCTCATGTTTATGTCTTGTGGCATAGGTGAAGAGTTTTTGGAAGTTGATGATGTTGTCGACGGACCTTAAGCAAACTCTTGTGTAGGATTAGATCACCGATGTGTTTATATATTTTGAAATCATTTTATGAAAAATGCTTGTGTCATGTACAATTATAATGTAAAGATGTGTTGATGTTTTCACGAAATGTTAGATCTATGTGTTGGACATGTTTTTTTTTTTTTTTTTATGTGTCCCGGGTGTGTAATTGTTAAGGCTTGACGATTCATCGCGACAAGTCTTGGCCGTCGGACGCCATTTGGTATGGAGTTCGGGCGAAGGCTGCCATAGCCTCTATGATCTTTACTCGAGTCATTGAGTCTCTTTTGAAATTCAAATACCATATTAAGTTAGGTAGTCAAGATTGAATTTCATCCAAATGATCTATGTCTTACAACGAGTAGTCTATTTTTTATTTTATATACTATTTATTTATTCACTATGAAATAGGTTTCTCTAATACATATTATATATCTTATGTATTTGTGTTATATATAGATTTTATTTGAACGAAGAATTCTTTTGGATAAAAGCAATCCATGCATATTGTAATATAATAGTAATTTAGTAGAAGATATTTTAATTTTATAGTATAAAAAATGTAAATATTAGCATATAAGATTGGATTAAAAAGTTTAGTCACATTTGTGTTATATATAAATTTTATTTGAATAAAGTACTCTTTTATACACAAATAATTTACAACAAAATTGTGGTAAAATGATAATTTTGGTATGAAAAGATGTTTTAATAATAATATTAACATATAGATATGATTATCTAAGGTCCAATTTTTTATTTCATTTGGATTTTTTTAAAAGAATTTTCAATTATAAATATTACTAATACAAGCAATCAAAATTAAAAAATAATTTTAGATTATTACTTTTTATATTTGATTATATTTACTTTTATCATATAATCAACCTAATTTTACAAAGAGTAAATTATAAATTAGTTATTCTATTATTGAAAAATGAATTAATTAGTTATTTTTGTTTCAAAAACTAATTATTTAATCTCTTAATCAATGTAATATATTTAATTTAATATTATTTTATTTATAAAAAATAATATTTTTTCTCATCAATTCTTCTATATTTTTTTACTTTTTTTTTTAATTTTTTAAATAAATTGAAACAGAACAAAAAAAGATTAAGTTACAATAAAATTTAAAAATATAAAGATTAAATAAAAGGTGACTATTCAATTCATTTCTCAAATATAGAGGGACTAATTTATAATTTACTCATTTCACAGCTAACTCTATAAATACGTTTTAAAAAAATAAAACAAAACACTAGAATCGTCCCACGGAAACCAGGTCCCCATTCCTGTGGCCTCCAGAGAATCCGTCTGCCGCGTAGAAACTGTGATCGAAGGAAAGGAAGAAGAAAATGGTGATCCTTTTGGTGGCGACCACCACAGATCCAGCATCCATAGGCCCAGCCTCTGCTCTACTAGCCATGCCTGGTTGGCAACCTGGCCCCTCCTTGCAGGTCAGCACTTCTCATCCTTTACTTTTCTTTCCACAAAATTGAATTCTATTTTGCATAGACTAGATTGTTATAAATTGCAAAACATCTTCTTCTTCTTCTTTTTAATAATTAAAAGATTAAATAAGAGACTGACATGTATATGGTGTGTTTGTTAGGATGCTGCCGTAAGTTTTGTAAACAAGGAAGTGAGGCTAATAAAATTGGACAATAGTCTTGTTAAAGAGGATCACTTGGATAAACGTTGGGAGGAGGCAACTGGCGAGTTAGTTGATGAGGTCATATTTCTTAGCAAGCATGCTGCTTCTTCTAATCGGCCAGCTCTTACGGTCCATCCGATTGGTATATTTATTATTAATTAACATTCATTTGATTCTACTAATGTTTGGTTCTTTATGTGTTAGTGTTATTTAGCCTTGTGGATTTAAAGGGAAAATTTTTTGAAAGGAAGAATGTAATGTCTGTTAGGATTTGCTTTCTTGGCTTAGGTACTCCGCATGTTGGTGAAGGTGAGGTTCTTGTTGCTGGTGGAAAGCCAGGATGGGCAGCACTTCCAAATCCTAGGATAGGGCCGTGGTTGAGGCTCTTGAGGACTATTGCTGAATCACAGAAACTAACTCCTGAATTCGAGGTACAAAGTTAATTAACATTTGATGTTAAAATACTTATGCTTCTTATGTATAAGTATAATCATGATTGTAGAATCTCGCATTGTGTTGTGTTAATGATACATATAAATTGGAAATACTTCATTTGGCTGTTTTTCATTATTGTCCTCTGCAATTTTTTAGCTAAAATATCTAGTTTCTCCTAATGAGTTTGGATTCTTATTAACATTTCGAATTAAATACAGTTAGTTTCCTCTTTCTCAGTGATGCTTTCTTTTGTCATTACAAATTTATGTCTTTATTTTCAAGCATATCTTGTTTTCTATCTTGATGGCCCAGTAGGCTAGTCCCCAGAGTGTGCTACTTTAGGGACATTTATATTCTGTAATTGTTACATAGTTGGTGTGAATAATTAGGTTTGAATGACCTAAATTTTTATTATACTAGAACAAGTATATATACACAAAGAGTCCTAAATATTAGGACTTGTTTCCTACTTCAAGGAGGAAATCTTGCCTAACCTATTCTAAATAGGAAACAAATAGACAGCTAATTACATTAATTTACAACCTAATTCCTAACTGATTAATAGCAAAGAATCCCAACACTCCCCCTCAAGTTGGGTTGTAAATATTTATCATACCCGGCTTGTAACTAAGATCTTCAAAATGTGTCCTTGGAAGTGCTTTAGTTAGGATATCGATTGTTTGTAGATTAGAAGGAATGTAAGTAGGCTTGATTTCTCCTCCTTCTATTTTTTCTTTGATAAAATGCCGATCTATTTCCACATGTTTGGTCCGGTCATGATGAACTGGATTTTTAGCAATGCTGATGGCAGATTGATCTGTCACAAAGTAGCTGTAGTGATCCCTTAAAAGGTATCTTCAATTCGGCTAATACTCTTTTCACCCGATTCCTTCACAAATACCATGAGCCATTGCTCGAAATTCTGCTCCAGCACTACTCTTAGCTACCACAGCTTGCTTTTTACTCCTCCATGTTGTCAAATTTCCCCAAACATAGGTACAATATCCGAAGTGGATCGTCTATCCGTGATTGAGCCCGCTCGATCCGCATCGAATACAATTCCACTTCCCTACTTGAGTTCTTTTTGAATAATAGTCCCTTACCCGGAGTCATCTTCAAGTATCTTAAGACTCGTACATCGCTGTCGGGTGTTTTTCAGTAGGGTTGTTCATGAACTGGCTAACAACACTTACCGAGAATGCTATGTCCGGCCTAGTATGTGACGGATAGATCAACTTCCCAACGAGTCTTTGATATCTTCCTTTATCTATCGGAGCACTATCCTTATCGGACCTAAGTTTGGTGGTGTAGTCCATAGGTGTCTCTGCAGGTTTACACCCAAGCATACCTGTTTCTTTTAGAAGATCTAGTACATACTTCCTTTGAGAGACTGCAATGCCTTGCTTAGACCTTGCCACTTCCATTCCTAAGAAGTATGTGAGTTTACCTAGGTCCTTGATCTCAAATTCTCTATTCAAAAATTCTTTGACTCTTGAAATCTCCTCAGACATAATCCCTGGTTATAACAATATCATCAACATAGAAAATCAACACGAAATCGAGTCCTTCCAAAGAATGTTTTACAAACATTGTATGATCGGATTGTCCCCGTATATACCCATTACTCTTCACTATTCCGGTAAATCTCTCAAACCAAGCTCCGGGTGATTGTTTAAGACCATAAGTGACTTCTTTAGTCGACACACTTTGTTGATGTTTGATGAGTTCCGTAGTCCTTGGGGAATGTCCATATAGACCTCTTCTTCTAGATTCCCATTCAAGAATTTATTCTTGACATCTAGTTGATGCGAGGGCCAATCCAAATTAGCTGCAAGAGAGAGGAGTATTCGAATAGTGTTGAGTTTTGCTACCGGAGCAAAGGTCTCCTCATAATCTATGCCATAGGATTGAGTAAATCCTTTAGCTACTAATCGAGCTTTGTATCTTTCAATACTACCATCTGCTTTTGTTTTTACATTGAAAATCCACTTGCACCCGATCACATTCTTTCCATGAGGCAAATCAGTAATCTCCCAAGTACCATTCTTCACCAAAGCATTAACTTCTTCATTGATTCGCCTTCTTCTATTCCGGGATAGCCATGGCTTCATGGATTGAGTTCGAAATGGATATAGAATTGATTTTTCCGGTGAATGCTTGGTAAGATAAAGATAGCCCATCATAGTTCACATAGTTCCCAATAGGGTACAATGGCTTACTTCGCATTCTCTCACCCCTTTCCCGAGTGCAATAGGTAGATTCTCATCGGAATTCCCAAGATTACTTGAACTAGAACCTGCAAAATTTTCCTCCACAATTTGTAAATCGGATGTAAGGGTATTTACCTCGAGTTCGAATGCTTGGCGATAGTTGTAAATCTGTTGAAGTCTCTGATTCCTTCGACTTTCCCCTTTTTCCGTGGTAGACAATTATATTGGGAGATGTAGAATCAATTGGTTGAGGTTCGGGTTCGGGTTGGACACTTGGAGATGGGGTAGAAGCACTTTCGAGTGAATAAGGTGTATTTGTAGTTTCGGATGTTTCGGGGTGCAATCTATGCTCTCTAAGAAAAACCGATATTCTTGTGGTTGACTTTGACTAGAGCTCTCCCCCGAATATCGGTTTTGATGTAATAGGGTTTTGATTAAAAAAATGTGACATCCATGGTGTGATAGAATTTTTGGTTGTCGGGATAGAAGCATTTGTAACCCTTTTGGTTAGGAGAGAACCCTACAAAGATACATTAAGTGGATCGAGAGTCAAGCTTGGTTCGATGTTGTTGATGGATATGAACAAACACAAGTACACCCAAATATTTTTAGAGTAAGAGTGGAAATTAGACGACTTTGAGGAAAGTTTTGTAAAAATACTTTATGTGGAGTGGAAAAATCTAGTACTTTTGATGGAAGTCGATTGATTAGGTATGCTGCTGTAAGTACAGCCTCACCCCAAAAACGTTTTGGAACATTGGATGAAAACAACAAAGACTCGGCAATATCCAAAAGGTGTCTATTCTTTCTCTCGGCTATCCCATTTTGCTGAGGGGTATCTACACATGAGCTTTGGTGTATAATTCCCTCGGTTGATAAATATGAGCCAAGATTAGAATTAAAAAACTCCCTTCCATTATCGGTTCTAAGTATTTGAATGACGAGTTTGAAATTGATTTTTAATCATTGTGTTGAAATTCTTAAATATTTAAGGGACATCTGATTTATTTTTCATGAGAAAAATCCATGTGAGTCGTGTGTGATCATCTACGAAAGAGATGAACCACCGGGCCCTCGTGACATTTGGAACTTAGGATGGGCCCCAATCATCACTATGGATCATAGAAAAAGGTTTTGATGCTTTGTATGGCTGAATAGGGTATGAACTATGAGTATGTTTTGCAAATTGACAAATTTCACACTGAAAAGAACTAGCGCTTTTATTTCTGAATAAACTTGGAAAAAGCTTAGACAAATACATAAAGTTTGGGTGTCCTAACCTGTAATGCCACACCATGATTGATCTCTCACTCTCGGTTTTCAACTCACTAACGGACAAGCAAGAATCGGTTTTACTAGACATAGGGTTACTCATTCCTAGGTGAGATTGTCTCACGGAATCCGGTTGAACCTCAAGATGATAGAGCACAGCATGACTTCTAGCACCGCCAATCATCCTCCCCGAAGTCACATCCCGAAATTCACAAACATGAGGAGAAAAATTAGCTAGACGAGTTAAGATCTTAGGTAATTTTATTTATGGAGAGTAGGTTGCAGTCTAGATTAGGAACATATAGAACAAATTTGAGTGTTATGTTCTTGGATACCACAACCAAGCCAGTCCCTTCCACTTGTTGCCAAAGAACAATCTGCAATTCTAACTGTGAGAGCATCATTACGGGGAGAATATGTGTGAAAAACTCGCCTATCTCCTGTCATGTGATCGGAAGCACCAGAGTCTACAACCCAAGGCTTATAGAGTTCTTGTTTGATAGTCAAAGCCTTAAGAAAATTACCTTTTTGAGCTATAGAACCCGAACCAATAATTGGTGGATTCTGTTGTGATTGCAGTAACCTTCTTAGTCCATCAAGCTCCTCTCTACTAAGAGTTGCAGCTTGTTCTAAATTCCTGGCCATGTTGCCTCGAACTTTATTCTCTATTGTTGTTTTTGGCTTCCAATCAGCGGGTTTTCCATGGAGTGTCCAGCAGGTTTCTTTGATATGACCAGGGCGGCGACAATGTTCACACCATGGCCTTCCCCCTCTACGTGGCCACTGCTGATTTCGGACTACCAAGGCTGATGACTCACCACTAACACCTGATTTTTCTGTCCCCAGCATTAAGTGACGTCTACTTTCTTCCCTTCTAACCTCGGAGAAGGCTTCATGCACGCTTGGCAATGGTTTTGTGCTAAATATCCTTCCTCTTACAGCATCAAGACTAGAATTCAATCCCAAGCAAAATTTGTAGACCCTTTTGTTCTCTATGATCTTTTTGTGTTGTTTGAGATCATTAGTAGTGTCCCAAGAATATTTCTCAAAAGCATCCAGCTGCTGCCAGCTTTGTTGGAGTTTGTTGTAATACTCGGTTACAGATAAGTCACCTTGTCGAAGATCGTGTAAGACGCTCTCAATTGCCACTAGTTCGGGGGTGTTGTCTTTGTGAGAAAAAGTATCTTTTGCTGCTTCCCAGACTTCTGCAGCAGTTTCATATAGGAGAAAATTTTTTCCTATATGTGGCTCCATGGAATTCACTAACCAAGACATAACCTGGCTATTATCTCTCTTCCAGATCCTGTAATTAGCATCTTTTTCATCTGGTTTAGTGATATTTCCGATTAGATAATCTTCTTTTTCCTTGCTGCGGACATGAAACATAAAGGATTGAGACCATTGGATATAGTTTCTGCCATTGAGTTTGTAGATGGTTATGGGTGCGGATGAGTAGTTTGTCATGTCTCCCCCATGGTTGTTGAACACAACAGTTTCAGTATTGGAGGATTTTGGGGTTTCAATAGAGGATTCATTGATGCTTGTCATGTTTGGTCTTGGATGTTGCTGCTGGAATAAGATAAAGGACGGATTGGGAATGAGATAAAGGATGGATTTGGTTGATGAATACTGCTGGAATAAGCAGTGTAGAGATTGATGAATACTGCTGGAATAAGCAGAGTAGAGGGCTGCTGGGAAAAAAATTTTGGTGAAGAACTGACTTAGGACGGCTGTGGGAAGAACAGGAGATGTCTAGGGTTGCTCTGATACCATGTGAATAATTAGGTTTGAATGACCTAAATTTTTATTATACTAGAACAAGTATATATACACAAAGAGTCCTAAATATTAGGACTTGTTTCCTACTTCAAGGAGGAAATCTTGCTTAACCTATTCTAAATAGGAAACAAATAGACAGCTAATTACATTAATTTACAACCTAATTCCTAACTGATTAATAGCAAAGAATCCCAACAGTTGGAATGCATGATAAAAAATTATCTCTGCAATGAAAACAAATTAGTGCATTTACCAACCATCAATATTTGGAGGGACATCTCTCTTTCCAATCTGGATGTGGAACATGAGAGCTTGAAAATGGTAGCTTTGTTTAACTATCCATTGCCAATATATGTAATCAATCCATCCTAAGATTATCCATTGACAATGTAAATTTACAAGCAAACAAGATCAATTGCAATTTTATACATATGCATTGATATTAAAACCTCACATCTACTATTCTTGAGACATCTATTGCCTTACTTTGCAATTCCTTGATGCTTCTTGGATTCTCCTCTTCGTTCACCATGGAAATCCTTCTTTTCCCCACATCGAGTGAAATATACTTGGAAGCAACAAGAGAAAAGGGATGCAAACCTCCGTAGCCAAGATTTAAATGAGAAATGCAGCAAAAAGAAAATTGAAATTTTGAAGAAGGAAATAAGAAAACTACTTAAAGCTCAGAGATTCCAAAAGAAAAAAGGAAACAAAGAAATCTGCTGACAACCAAAAACAAACCATTCATTAAGTTCTGCAATAATTTTTCCCCTGCCTCAAAATGTTCAACTTTTGGACTCCAGCTGCACCACAGTTCCACATGACATTAAACCAGCAGAGAGTTGCTGCTGAAGTTGGAGCCTTCTTGTCAGTCCCTCTAAAATTGTCCTGTTTTTCAAGAGCTGAATTACTTATGCTGGCAGAGTGGCATCACCTGAATTAACCCCTAAGGAGTAGAGAGAGTAATAAGTTCTGCGATAGTTGAATATGGGTAACTGGACGATGTCAAAGTAAATGATCTATAACTTCTCAATGAGATCTGCACAGAGATTACCAACTTATTTTAATCTTATATCTTCTCCTCAAATTTTAGATGTCAAATGACAACTATTTAGAGCCTTCAAAAAAAAAACCTTAATGGGATATCTTTAGATCATAAATTCATTTACATCTAACTGTCCGTACCCCAATATTCTGCACTAGATACGGCAAGACCAGTGGAGGATTTATTGTATGTAAGTTCCAGTCATGTCATAAGCTCTTCTAAAAATTAATCCAATAGATCACCATCTGTCACACACCATTGTCAATGTAGCTAGCGGTTGTTGCCCTTTTTCATTTGAAGTTAAAGAGAAGAAATCAGGAAATGCACTTGTAAAGGTTGATTACCCATGCCAAACATTATAGTATAGCAAATTTCTATTATTTCTATTTTTTATGACTTATATTATTTCTATTGACATAGACATTGAAACCATTTTTTAATAGTGTTCTGCAAACTAGCGTCTTGAGGACTCTTAACTTCTCTGAATCACCCAGCTCTAGTACCTTCCATGCTTTTGGCAACTACAAGTATCTTCGAAAAACTATCATGCTTTACTGAGTACCTGTCCAATCAGAAGCACCCATGCATCCGCTTGGAAAGGACTAAGGAGTACACGCCTATCTCCAATGTACCAAATAGTACTTAGTTTACCTTCATCCCTTTGAAGTTTTTCTGATCTCTGAACAGCTGAATCCAAAATGGGAAATGAAGATAAAAAAAAAAAAATGTAGGTAAACATGGTTGTGTGCTCTTAATGCGAGTATTTTTCCACAGCTCCAGAAATACTGCCTCTTCCACCTGCTTCTGCTTGTTTACCGACTGCTATATAACATGATCTTTCACTGAAATAGTCTTGAAATGCACACCTGAAGGTCGTCGCCCAGGATGAGTCAATGGGAAGAGATGCAACTATAGCCTAAAGAAACTTTCTGATAATTGTTGCATTTAGTTTAATCTCAAACTGCTTTATTGATCAATTAATTTTTTCATGCATTCCACTAACTAGTTTATGCTCTAGTTTAATCATAACCATAAGTATTAGAGGGTGCATAAAAATTCTTTATTGCTGCCATGCTTATTATTTTTATTTTTTCCTTTTAACCAAAATAGTTGAAACATGCTGACTTTCTTCAATTGTTCTATCATGTGTAGGTTACATTGGAAGCCACACATCATGGGCCATTAACTAATTCGCCAACCATGTTTGTGGAGATTGGTAAACTTCTACCACTAATTATGTCTGCTTTAATCATCATGAGATTTTTATTTTTGGTTTTGCAATCCACTGGTTCACCTTTTGTGTTGTTGATTGTCCTGGTTTAATTAATTGAAAATTGCCTTTTCCATTTTCACAAGGTAGCACAGAAGAATACTGGGGGAGACAGGATGCTGCACAGGCCATTGCATTGGTTGGTATTTGTTGGTCAGAATAAGCTATGTTTTACATGCAGTGGCCTCATTATTGTTAAATTAGATGCTTTGTAGACATTACTTATATGCCGAGTTCATTTTTTATTTGCATTTGATTTGAAAATTTTACCTTTGAATTGTTCTTAGTTTCTCTATCCAGTTTTCTCCTTCAGTTGCCTATGAGTGAGTCATAAATCTGCACGACTAATGTTATGTTCAAGCTTTAAAGTGATAATAAAGACTTTTACTCAATTTAGTGATATAATTTGTTTGGGGCTTGAAGTTAGTTTGGCAAGGATTGGGTCTTGGAGGAGGAATTGCTGAGGGAGACTGGAGCAGGTACATCCTTACATAACTTATTATTCTCAATGAGTAAGATATGGACTGGGTAGATGATTCCATTGTTTTAAAGTAATGAAAACTTTGTAACTTATTTTTCTCAAGCTACAAGATATGGAGTGGGTAGATGAATTTCCATCATTTCAAATCGAAGGGCATTGGTTTTACTCATGGTACTTCTGATTGTTAGGCATGAATAATCTGGGATTACTTTCCTGGTATCTGTAAGGTTTTTCTGCATGTGTTGTGCATGTTTTCCATGTTATATTACAGCAAGTGAATGCAAGTGTTTCATACTTGCTCACCATTTCTTCATGTGATGACCCTCTCTTGGTTTGAAAGGGAAAGGGTAAAAGAAAAGAACTTGATGACATTAATTTGAAAAATCTCATGTTCTATATATTAAGATAGATGAAGGGGGAAATAGTGTAGTCAATATGTCAAGAAAGCCTGTCAAATTTACACTTCTAGTTGCAAAATTGATACTTTTATTGATTCAGGAATAATGGTAGCAACAAAATCCTTCTTGGAATAGGTGGCGGGCATTATGTGCCCCGACACATGGACATTGTTCTGTAAGTTTCTATCTTCACATTTTTCTGTCTATCTAGACGTCTAGTAATTATTTTGTACCTTACAGCATTACAGTAATTATGCTCCTAAATTGAGCATATTTTATTGAATGGAAATGGATGGCTATTTATCATGATAATTTTTATTGTTTCATTTTAATCTTCTGCATTTTCAGTAAAGATGGTGTTTGGGTAGGCCATTTGCTTTCTGGGTATTCCTTGCCAATGGAAGATCCTGGCCAGTCAAAAACAAAACTAAATACTGAGGCTGTTCGCGGAACTTGGAGAGAAGCAATCAAAGTTTCATTTGAGGCTACCAAATCAGCTTTCCCTGGGGGAGAAGTTCTAGCACATCTTGATCACAAGTTAGTCGTTTCTATGAACAAATTTTAATTTATGATTAGTGTCATATCCTCTGAAAACCGCTTTGACCTTAATAACCTGTTTGACTTGATCTTTGCAACACATAGTATGCATACCTGCAGTTTGTGCACGAACACGATGCTAGTTTAGAAATTACTCAAAAAGAGTTTGTCAAGAGGCATGTCCTTTTCTGACAGTTTTGAAAACACTCGGTCTGCATTCATTTAATTTCAAGTAAAATGAAGTTGACAAGAGTTGTATATTTTTGTTTATCTGTGTGCAAATTTGAATATGTTGGATTTCAAGTAAATTTCGGTTTTTTTTTCCCCTCAAAGAACAATGAGCTACTTGTGTCAGATGTTTTGTGATGCGTATTTTCTTCTTGTTTTCTGAAAACTGTATCTTCCTAATGCTATAGATTTTATTGGTGAATGCAGGAGTTTCAAGAGCTGGCAGAGGAATGTCGTCACAACTTTCTTGGTGGAGCAGAACATAAAGATTGGCAAAGCCAGTGACTTTTCTTAATTATTTTATCAGTACTATCGTATGCAAAACAATTATATTTGGATTCTTATTTTTCTCACTTCTCTTGACTGAGGGTGATTCCATTTTGAATATTTGTTTCCTATTGAGAAAGATTGATTTTGAAACCTAATTTACAGAATAATGAGCATCAAAGCATTAATATGCACACTTCTTTATAATAGAAGTATGGGTTCAAATTAGGAATTTAGCCTCACAAGTTTTGTTGATATATATATATATATATATAACGTACTTAATCAAATAAACATATATCAAATTTATACAAGGTTTTTTTGTTTTTTTTTCCATAATTTATTTTTGATATGATCCTACTTTCATTAAATTGTTTGCTGTTGGATTGATGCTATAGTCATGCAAAACCAAGAACGTTATAGTTTCAACTTTCAAACCAATTATTTGACCATTTGTATGTGCTTTTGTATTCATAGATTACAGCTTGATCTCTAGCCTGTCACAAAGTTTCACTATCATGGGGTAAAGCTTTTAAGTTTCTTACGTGAAAAGAAATTTTTGAAGTCAATCTTAAACTTTTTAACGAAACAAGCTTACGTGAAAAGAAATGATGATTCTTGCCTTTCACATTTCCATTTTGGAAAAAATAAAATAAAATAAACAAATAAATTATGAAGAATAAACTTCCTTTTCTTTCTATAGCATGCGGCTCATGTATGTTGTCGTGACAGTGGTGGTTAGCTGCTTAACCTGTTGCTAAATTCCAACAATTTTTTGGAGGGTTTTAGTGATGGTTTTGCTGAAACCCTCGCTAAAAAATTGTTTTTGGACGAATGTAGTGATAGTTTAAATAGATCATTACTAAATTTTTCTAAATATTTTTTAGGATTTTAGCAACGACCCGCTTAGATCGTTGCTAAAAACCCCTCAAATTTTTTAGGGAATTTAGTGATCATCTAGGTAGATTGTTGCTCAATTGCCCCTAAAATTTGGGAGAATTTAGTGATGATTTCACAAAAACTATCCTTGAAATCTCTAAAAAATTAAGGGTTTTAACCGACAATTTTAAAAAAAACCGTCACTAATAATCTTTTTTTTGGATAATTTTAAAGAAAGAGGGATTTTGCTTTTAACGACGAACCAAAATCATTGCTAAACACAAAGTCCCTAAATTGAATTCTACCACTCTTTTTTCTCTCTTCTTCTTCTTCACCGGCACCACCACTCCGAAAAATCCTCCATTGACGCCATGAAACCATCCAAACTCCCATTCTCTCTTCTTTTCTTCTTCTTCCCCTCCATTCATTTCTTTTTTCTCCTCCATTGTCTTGTTCTTTCTCTCATTTCCTTCTCCTCCTCCTCCTCCTCCCTTCCTTCCTCTTCTCCGTGGGTCCACCAACATTGGCAACAATTCCTCCCTTCTCTCCTCCTCCATTCGTGGGCTTCCCAACTCATCTAAGGTGAATTCTTAGTTTTTTTGTTTTTTAAATTTATATATATTGTTTATTTTTTTATTAATTATTAGTTAGTTTAATTTATTTTCTTTTTAGGGTTAATTTATTAGCTATTAAATAATTATATTAGGTGTCAAGGTAATTTAATTAGGTGTTAAACATGTTAATTTGGTGTTAACTATGTAATTTAGGCGTTGAAGGTGTTAATTAAATGTTAAAAAATTTAATTAGCTGTTAAGTTTATTTATTTAGTTATAAAAAAATTTATTAGGTATTAAATAAGTTAATTAGGGGTTAATTTAATTAATTTGGTATTAATTATGTTATTTAGGTGTTAAAATAAGTTAATTAGGTGTTAATTAAATTAATTAATTGTTAAAAAATTTAATTAGGTGTTAAGTTTATTTATTTAGGTATAAAAAATTTTTATTAGGTGTTAAATGAGTTAATTAGGGGTTAAATATTTAATTTGGTGTTAGTTTAATTAATTTGGTATTAATTATGTTATTTAGGTGTAAATTTTTTTTACTAGGTGTTAAATAAGTTAATTAGGAGTTAAAATATTTAATTAGTTCTTGGTTTAATTAATTTGGTGTTAATTATGTTATTTAGGTGTTAAAAAATTTTAATTAGGTGTTAATTTTATTTATTCATCAATGACATAATTTTACATACATTTAAACACCCAAAATAATTATTTTGCATAAAAATGCACTTATTCATACAAAAAAATATTCACCAAGCATAGAAAAATTCACTTAAGTGCATGAAATATTCTTACATCCTTCTAGCAATTTTTCAATGCTCGAAAAATTTTCACACACATTTAAAATATTCAAAGCAATTATTTTGTATAAAAAGTACTATTCATACACGTAAAAACCTATAAAATATTCACCGAGCACAAAAAAATCACCCTAAGTGGATCGAATATTCTAGCACCCTTCTAGTTATTATTCTAGGCACACAAGATAATTCTCACATATATTTTTAATATATATTAATTTATTTATTCTTAGGTTTGGGATATTACATTTAGTATGGAAGAATAAAAAAAAAAAAGATTTATTCCAATGTCGGATGGCTCGATGGCCGACCACAAAGGATACATAGCATAAGTTAAAGGATCAAGGTCTCATTAACGATCCAAGCATATCTATGACGCTATCAACCGATTAGATAGATTATCAGTCATTGCAATATAAAGATAGAAAAGGTCCACACCGATGACAACATAGCCGACTCTTTGAATAAGCCTTTGTCAAAGCAAAAACATGAGACCCTTGTTCGATTGTCGGGCATAAAAGACATGGTTGGTTGGCTCTAGTGCAAGTGGGAGATTATTAGTGTAGGTGTTCAAGATCTAACTTTGTTTGAATGGTTTGATTTATTGTAATATTGCATTTTTATATATTGATAAAAGAAGTCTTTCTATTAATTCTTGTTGTTTACAATTTAATAGAATTAGATAAAAGTCCATATGATATGCATTGCATTAATGATTGATCAATTGATGTGAGACGAACATTAATGCATTTAAATGATATTATTAAATGTTCCAAATTGTAGCATTGTCTATAATGGACATTGACTATATACGGTGAGACTTGTGAGTTTATGCTTATACTATAAGATAGCAATAGGAGATCTCACACCTATTGGCATGGTAATGCTAAAGCAAACACTTAGGAGATTAATGTTATGGAACATATCATTGAATGTGACTCACCATAAAAACACATTTGGTTTATTCTATGGTAACCTTATACGAAATGGGTACAACAGATCTTTTGATTTAAAGTCATCATGGTTATCTCATTAGAGAATTTATATACTTTGACACTCGTTTCAATGGGCTTAGTTAAGAGTTGCATGTGGATGATTCGTTGGGTGTATTAGGAATCTAATAGAGACAAGTGGATGAATAAGATATGACATGTCATTTCTTATATGCTAAAGGAGTTATCACATTACACTTCAATGAATATCTACTCAAGGAATATATGGCCACAGTAGGAGCATACCAATAGAGCATAATTTGTTTATTCTAGAGTTAAGACATTTGGGAATCGAAGAAAACTTATATGATCATAATGGAATAAACTATAAACCAAGTTTGAGATCACACTATGATAAATTGACATAAGAACTAAATTGTATGGTAACCATGCTTGTGAAAGGTAATTACAGATTAATTAATCCTTCTAGAGAATTGGGTAGTCATGATGCCTTGCTAGAGATTTATGTATCAAGAGATAAAAGAGATGTCGTTTATTCTTGATACATTATCAACATATCTAGGAGCATATTGAGTCACACACATAAGTTTAAATATTCATAGAATACAAGAGAAGCAAAGATTTTGGAAAATGTTTCCAATTTTTGAAAGTTTTCTATTTTGAAAAATAATTCTAAAAATGAAAAGATTCTTGTTTTGGAAAAAGTTTTTTGAAATAAAAAGTTTCTTATTTTAGAAATCAGTTTCTTAATTTGAAAGTCGAGTCACCTAAAAAGAAAATCAGTTTCCTAATTTAGGTTTAAGAGTAATTTGAATTTTTTTTTCCTAATATAGGCTCCACTAAAATACTTGACCCAATTTATTTGGATGGTCCAAATTAATTGATGATTAATTGGGCCACAAGAGTTTAGGCCAACAAGTTTAATTTAAAAATCTATAAGATATTTTGATGAAAGGATAAACTTGAGCACTATTGGATAAGGTTTAGAGTTTACAAAGATAAGATCAAACAAGCCCACACATTTTACAACTCCTTGTCCTCGGGAGACAAAGATAACACCCTCCTTCTATAAATAAAGGGGAGAGAGGTGACAAGTGAAAGCGAACCCACACACACGGCAATAAAAAATAAAAAAGAGAAAAAAATTTTCTCTAAAAAAAAGTCCTAAGTTGCCATACATAGAGCTTTCTAGGGTTGTCGTAAAAACCCCGACTAATTTCTTTAAAAGCAAATTAACTATACAGAACGATTGGAGCTAGCTCTCTAAAATTTCTATAGCTTCTTTTATAAGTGTTTAAGATGCATGGATAATCAATAGAAGTCGGGTACTTGGATGGTTTCCTTTTTGCTTAATTATTTTCTATGCTACAAGAAGTAATCTTTCGCCCATATTTACATTTATGTTAGTGTATGATTAATTAATTTAATGGTATGATCTTGAGAACCATAGATGGAGGAAAAAAAATTTATTCCGTACCTCCATATTTAATGGCATGATCCTTCAATCAGCCCATGTGAATTTTATGTAGCCCAAATTTCTTCATAGAGTAATCCATTTAATTCTAAATAATTCTAACCCCCAATGATCACATCAATATACCCTCTAAGTCATCTTTTTCTTTTTGAATTTCATCCCTTTTCATCTTATGAATTCCTAGCTCATCATCAACTTGTTCATACTAGAATTGTAAATTGCTAATGTCTATTGACTTTTGTGCTCGATTCTATCCGAACTCGATGGAATAAAAGTTTCCAATATTTTTTTTAAAAGCAACATTTAGTCAAATTTCTAGGTCTTTCTCCATATCATAGATCTAATTTTCTATATGTTATC